GAGACTGGACGCCAGGACTGTCAGGAAACATCTTTTTAAAATTGCAGCTTTCTAGCTTTCCTGGTTTCCCGAGTTAGCAACTTTCTCGAAAAAAACTTTCACAGGCTCGTACGTGGGAACCACGCTTATTGAGGGCTGGGTTTGAATTCATTAATGCCTGCTTGGACGGAGAACGTCCCCTCAAAATTCCAGTCCTTTTTTTAGCTTCTCAGTTTCCCGAGTAAGCAACTTACCCGAAAAAAAATTTCATAGGCCCATACTAGTAACCATGCAAAACAGGGGTTTGGGTTTGAGCTCATTAATACGCACATGGGCGAGGAACATCCCCTTAAAATTTCAGTATTCTAGCTTCCTAGGTTCCCAAATTAACCGTTTATCCGAAAATTTTCATGGGTCTGTAACTGGGAAACACGCACATATGGGGCTGAATTTCAGCTCACTGATACCCACATGGATGGGGAACATCTCAAAATTTCAGCTTTCTAGTTTTTCTGGTTCCCAAGTCAGCAGCTTTCCTACCAAAAATTTTGGCGGGCCCGTACGTGGGTGTCACGCGTAAGAGCGCCCATTTGGAGCCGGAGGTCGCGCATGCATGTAGGATTAAGTTTCCAAAGTTTCAGCCCTGTAGCTTTTATAGGTTTTGAGATGAAAGACCGGTACAGACGCACACGCAGACGGACACACGGATAACCCCTCGTCAATATGCGTTTTCTGCATTGCAGAGATGCAAAAAACGCGTAAAAATCGCTAGAAGCGAAATTTGCCGGAAATTACACCAACTCAACGTTACAACCAAGCCTTTTCAAATCTCACAGTGTTATCATCTCGCTAATCCTAACAGACAGTACTACTTAATACAGAAAACCTCATACAAAGTGGTATTTTAGGCATGGTATTACCGAGACGCGCTTAGCTATCATTCACATTGTTGGCGGAGGTAAATATTCCAACGAATTACACTCACCTAAAAGCTATCGTTCACTTTGGCAGTGCCCGGCAAATTAAATACCCAAAGACAATCGATTTTCTCTTTTTTTTTTTTCAGGAAAACTGTATTACTTATGGCTTCTCTCATTTGGCGTAAATTTCGTCTACTACAGCATGGTGATTTACGCCGTTCTCAAGAGATGGAAAGAAACGAATTCTGTTTACGTCTGGAAGAACAAAGCAGCAGCGAAGAAAAACAATTGACAATCCCTAAGGAGCTTTGGAAAATACTTGCTATGTAAAGACCGCTATGAGCAAATAAAATATCTGAGAAAGCAGTTTCAACACGCTAAGACAAAACTGATAATAACGACAATTAATGTAGGAAATACGAAAGGAGCAGAACAGACCGCTAAATTCAAAACCACGAAAAAGAAAATCGTCCGAACAATCGGTTGAATATTCGAGGCTAGTGATTTTACCGTTATGCTCCTACACGCTTGCACCCTACGACCCTGGACGGCATACCTCTAGTAGTACCTCCAACTTTTTAGACATTCCTTGAGGACCGTCCAAGTGGCTGTTTACCGCCTCGGAGGTATTTAATTGCTAAGGCGCAATGCTTCTGGTTTTTACGTGTGCCAAGAAATTACGCTAAGTATATGAAGAAGCAGGCAAAGCTAATGTATTTGTGTGGAAATATAAAAATTATTGAAACTGATGCGAAAGAACCGGGATGCTGATGTGAAGAATGTACATACGTGTGTGTCAATGTGAACATATGAAAACCTTCAAAACTGATAAATGCGAAAAAAAAAACCGTTAAAAGTAAAGAAAAAATAGGGTGATGTGCGAAATGTAGGAGAAAAATGAGCTTGCCTCGCCAATGCTGTCATTGAAAAATCGCATAATTTCTTCGCTGTCGCATTCTTTCGGAATATTACCAACATAGATTGTTCGACGAATTTCTTCCACTTTTGATGGCTCCGTATTTGCGCTCAGTGCCGGATACGGTGGTAATCCAAGCGCCGCCAGTGTCGGGTCCACTGTAAGCAACTGAAAATAGCATGGCAATTTAATCAAGATGTCGTGAAACATTGGGTGCTACGTGTTGTACATTTTTAAGCTCAGAGCATCGGTTTGCTTCAGATATTCTCGCCTTCAAAATACAATTAATTTTACAAAGAACATGTTCAATGCTTGAAGCGAAGGAGGCTGAGTAAAGGACGTACGCGAAAATGCAAGGGAAGAGTTGGCTATCGATCGGAGAGCAAGATTTCTGAAGCAAAAGGAAGCTGAGATTTTGATGAAATTTGAAAATGTAAGTATCTCAGTGATAGAGACGGGCCGTGCTGATGATGAGATACCGTGTTGTGGACCCACCAAATTCTCACTTCGTTACTGCACAATCTCTGTGTTTGGTGTCACGTAAGTCTCACGTGTACGTGTGCATTCACTATAGACCGGATTTACTGAAACAAAGAGTTAATTCAAAGTAGCCGCAGCATCTGTTTTGTCAAATGCGGCATGGATTCGATCCCAGAAAAATGGCTGCCAAAGAGCACCGCGCGCATCCATCCGTCGCAAAACGATTTCCGTTCCTCCGAACAACTTTTTTCGAACCTTCAAAAATTCAGAGCTTCTCTCATAACACAGTTGATATTATGTACGACATGAGATAGACAACAGAACAGTGCCCTCTAAAACTAAAAATAGCTAAAACCCTTCCGCACTTCGTTTTTCATAAGATAAAGTGGTGTCCAAAAATAGCCCAAATGCATTACGCAAAAAAAAAGCTGTTGATGGCTCCCTCTTTCGTTGGTTGCTCGAGAAGCGAGATGAATGTGATGACCTCCCTGGGATGCTAATAACTAATTTATAAAAAAAAAAAAAACCCACAAAAAAGTTACATCAACTTATTTGGTGGTCCAAAAAAAGACAAACATAATGTGGAATTTGATCCTAAACACGGAATAACCGCAACGAGCAGAACAGACATGCGGATGCAGCTGGACAGGAGGTTCGCTCTATTATTCTTAAAACCAAAAGACTTTAGCTCATCGCGTTCAATCCGGCCTGTTGGCAAGAAAATGCACGCTAGAGATTTGTGCTCGCACAATCCAGTTAATATTACACATCAAAGACGTTGAGGAACAAACAGAAGTAAGCGTTTCAGTGGCGAGCTGTAACAATATCGACGAAGCTGAAACAGATAAAACACAAATTACAGCGTGAGGTCCGAACAGTTGCAAACCGACAACGAAACTGTCATTTTTATGTCCTAGAAAAGATAGCATGTCTTCTCTCTACTACACACGGCGCGCCGAGTTCTTTAAAATGAATGTTCGCGATGGTTAAGTGAAATGAAAAATCGAATAACCATTTGCTGTCCATCGCCTAAATCCTGAATTTGATTAGTGACATTTGGGGGCAGCTGGCGTTGGCCAGGCCATGCCGGGCCGCCTGTCTTCAGTGCCGTCTCCTCGTCCGGGATCACATCTGCAAATACACATTTATCAATTCTTCCCGTACCAATACAGCTGCGAGAAAATGCCTAAAAACGACACCCTGTTTATTGTACTGTACTCATTTCAAAATTGGCCGGTCAAACTGCAAAGTTGAAACTCCTGGAAATTAATGTTCGTTCCAGTAACGAAATAGAATCTCGAATATTTGCCCTGTAACTTCAGTGGATCTCGCTATGACCTCCGGTAGTCAAGACCCCTCCACATTTGCTCTTTGTGAGAGGCGCAAGCCCTCGGCAACTAGCCGAGTGGTAACATATACAACAATCCGCTGACAAAACCCCGATGGTTCCCTCTTTTGAGAATTGGCAAGAAGTAGACTGCTGCCAGAACCGACTCGACGAAATGAAAGAATCATCGAGAGACTATCTCTCCCATCGATACATTCAATCCCTCGAACTACTACATGACAATAGTGTTATTTTCTACCGATTCATGCAACTTGGCCCAGTGGAAAATAGGGCTGCTACTTTTCTTACTGCGTGTAAAGCTGCCGAAAATGGCTTCCAAAAAATATCGGCCAACTCTGTTTGATAAAATCCCCGGATTTTTGTAATCCAGAACTCAAACAAATAGGAAAAAAACTGCACTGATTCTTGTGAATAACAATGCAAGACAGTGAATATGCCAGTGCCTAATAAAAAAGGTGGATGGTACAGCCGATACAATTACTCTTTCTGGCAACTTATTAAACGCCTAGAAGCAAGTCGAACGATGAAGCTGCCTTAGAACCACATAACAAATCTGTTCCCCTTCCCCCCGCCCCTGCCAATTTTATCCAAAGTGTTTTGCAAAAAAAAGAAAAAGTATGAAGATATTTCTTGCTTGCCTGAAATGGAAGGTATGCAGACCAGTGCTCGGTCGATGAAGACAGTGTTGGTGAGATGCTGCGCCACTTCCACCGACTTCTGATCTTCAAATTTAACGTACGCAAATTTCTGAGTAAATGTCGAGAATTGTGGATGATTATCAGAAGGGTAAATCTGAACATGAGCTGTTTCATTAAAACAATACAGCAGCAAACAAAACAATACACAAATCCACCCCAGAGTAAAAAAAAATAGATACTCATAACGTGAAGTTTAATACGGAATAGCCGCAACGAGCAGAACGGACATGGGGAATGCAGCAGCTGGACAAGATGGCATGGGAGGGGGTCTGGGAAAACCCAACAAAACTATGGAAAAAAAAATGTAGCATCCATCGCAGCAGCAGTTATATATAGTGTAAAGGAAGCTCTGTATCTAATATAAATTCAAATGCTTTAACTAATCGGGCAGTGGGCATTCGAAAACCATTACATTCGAAAAGTGCCAAAGTGAGAAGTTCGAGTCTCTCTTGGTCTACATCTTTATAAAAAGGGGGTCTCGTTAGCGAAAAACAAAGATTTAGCAGCAGCAGAGGGAGGGGAGTGCTGTTGGCGTGCAATGGGACCAAAAGATAAAATGACCGTGTTTTTCGGTAATGGAGGAGACTTTTTTTCAGTACCACAATTAAACAGGACAGGCCCGTTTTACCCTCAGCCAGTATGAACCAAACATCCACAAAAGCCCGCACGAAAGCCCAGGAAGAAGGGCTGCCTAAAGCGAAAGGCTAATAAATTTGTAAATTAATGGTAATAAATGTATACGACTTAATGGACCGAAACATTTCCTACCATTACATTAAATTAAGACCCATAAAGACTGGAGTAATCCCGAAGAAAAGTACTGGAAAGTGAAAAGGAAATTACTGAGATATCACCAGCTCTACCGTGTGCCGAGATCTTTTCCACTCCTCTTTGAGCCCCGATCTCCCCTCTTCCTCGTTGAATTACTGTTACATTGGAAACTCCCCTTGCCCTCCTCTTACCCGCTCTATTTTCTAAAAAAAAAGAGCAAAATAACACCATTAAACTCTAATTCTTCCACCCGCTGCTTCTCATGAAAAATTTT